AATGAAAATGCAATGTCGCTCATCACACTGAAAATGAAATGTCGCTCATCACGCTGAAAATGCAATGTCGCCCATCATACTGAAAATTCAATGTCGCTCATCACACTGAAAATTCATTGTCGCTCATCACGCTGAAAATCCATGCGCTGGACAAGCTAAAATAACTCCTCATCCAGCAATATAGTACGTACTGTCTGTATATCTCTGGTTATAATAAATGATTTGTGGTACTTGTATCAGCTCGTTTTCACTGTAAAATTATTTTCTTGTGTGTTTTATTTCCATTAATTTCGGTGCTTCTCTTTATCCACGAATTCCTATCTCCAAACATATCACTATATTTCTCCACGAACTTGCTAATGATGAACACAGAAGATGTACCAGGTTCTCCGTGGCAAATAATGTTATTGTTCCTAAGCACAGAACTACAGTTTACTCAAAACTATTTTTTTATATCTGGTGCTCAGGACTGGAATAGTCTACCCAGTCTGTTAAAAGACAGTCAAATTTTTAATTCTTTTAGAGACCAACTAGTTCATTACTTTTGGAATTCTTAACTGTTCATTTTAATTCAAATTTTCCTTTTTTAATCTATGCTATATTATCGTATATCCTGGTAATTTTTACTTTTTGCTATGTTAGCATATATGTATATACGGCTTAAAGCCATTTAACTGACGAATCAAATTAGCAAAAATATGTGTTTGTGCTATCTGTGATAATCTTAATTAATACTGTGTTATAATGTCTTTCACTATTATAATTTTGTATGTATTTTAATATCTGATTGTGATATCACGTTTTACTAACGAATGTAATATTTTACTAACTTGAGAACCATGTGGTAGATTAGCATTTGGCTAAACATGTATTATCCTCTTTAAATAAAGTCTATTATTATTATTATTATTAACTGAAGTGTAAACGGAATAGGTTTTAAGACCACGAAATTTAAACCTCAAAAATACATACGGTATTATGGCAGTACCGGTTTGTTACTCTAACCGTTTGATGGATCTAATTTAATAATATGTTTCCTTCCATGCGCAAGAATACTGGACCTCGATTGACGCTTCGAGATGTGCAGTTCAATAACTACGGAGGACGTTTTTTAGCAGGAAGATCAAATACCGCCCAGTAACGTTAGGGTTGTTTTCCCCAGAAGCCACAAATTGTATGCAGTGGCCCTCTCGTATTGTGTTCAGTGATAAAGCAAATAGCTACTTCAAGGAGATCTGCCTCCAACTAGCCCTTGCTCCTAACTGGCGATAAATCCAGGACAACACAACAAAACCCATCTTTTTTTATACACGATGTAAACATTTAGTTATATTTGAGGCGTTTCTTTTGTGTCGTTGATATCACTGTTGGTTTGTTTACGAACCGACGGAACACCCCGTCAACTAATGGAATACTCAAGTTAGAAGAGACAAATAGCTGATTCTAATTTGACTAGACATATACTGATGTGTAAACGTCAATTTTGTTGATAATTTCAAATAGAAATTATAAACCGGAAATTTATAATATAAACAGGAAATGTAGATATGAAACAACATGTCTGCTCTAGGAAAAATGTCATGTATGATTATCACCATAAAACTGTTAGGTCTATTTAAAATATTATTTTCGTTGCTTGAATGTTGACACAATTATAACATATATCACCAAACCTTTATCTGGTAAAAACGTTGGTTTTATTCTGTCGCTATACATCAGTATTGATATTTCGTCCAATAGTGTAGGAGTTATTTCCCTTACACTATTTTGTTTAAATGTTTGCGTCGTGAATATTTAACCAAATCAAATTTTAAATAAAAATTATTTAAATATAATCAATGGATAATATCATTTCAAATCTCGCACTAGAGGTTTGTATTACTCTCATATATCAATCATAACAAGCATTCCTGTCATAAGATTAGGCTAAAACAGAATTGTTTGAATATCATTCTCTGATGGAACAATTGATTTTACAGCATGGTCGGATAAAACAGTGCTTAATATTTCCCCGCCTTTCACGTACATGATCCCTGCGCTATTAAAACAGGATTACCTATATTTTCCACTATGATATTAGTTTGTTTTACGATAGTTGTGAAAAAAGTTTACAATCTGTATAATGATCTTGTAAAATAAAACTTCAAAGTTTTCTTCAAATGGATTGTGGAAACGTTAAGTGTATCCGTTCTCAGTACCACGTGACCAAATGAAGTGCCATGTCACCTTATCCACATACAAATATCCCAGTATGATGGCAGTTGTGATGGCGATGACAATATCCAAGTGTGACGGTAATTTACAAAAATGTTGATATGAATTCAATCCCTTGTATAAACAATTTTCAAGGGCCAGAAATGTGTAACTTATGTCCAGTCGTTGTTTGTAGTCAGACTAGTTATTAGCGCTCCTGAGTTTTACGGGAAAAATAGAAAAGGGAACGTAACGAATATTGTATCTATTTCTTACTTCCTAAATTCAGAATTAAATCTTTATTTATATTTTTTGTTTATTCTTCTTTGTTTCCCTTGTTTGTATTTGTTTTGTTTGAGTTTTTATTTTTAATTATTGCATGTAAAAACACTCATTCATTACTATACACTGGCCTTTCACCAGGCCGTCCGGGGTTCGATTCCCGGAACGGATGTGAAAAGGTAAGGGTCACCTGTCTGGCCACATGGGTTTTCCCCTGGTACTCTGGTTTCCTCTCACAATAAGACCCCTCGCATGCTTACATCCGGACCAACAAGAGTGATTAGTATAAGTTGAAATAGCTTGTTTCGAAACTGTTGTAAAATAAATGAAATTTATATTTATACTACAATCCACATCACGTCCTTTAATACCTTACTGCCATCCTACCCGCCGTCACACCGGGATATTGTAATTACCTCCAACCAATGAAGGTGATTGTATGTTAAAATGATCTAACAAAGATGGATCAAACTAAATTGAATAATATGGACCGTCAGCAATCATTATAAAAAAGGAGAATTTAGGTTAATAGAAATACATTGGTTCAACAACGTGGAGAGAAAAATGATGTCTCCCAATAACAGAGGGTATTGAATGTATCAGTATATACTGCCTAATACCTTACCAGTGTGGGGATATGGTGGTGTTTTATTGTACAACGAAGATGACATAAACAGAGACAGCATTATTGTTATCACTTTTGCTGTCTTAACACACACAATGATGGATCACTCAAATACCACATATGTAAAGCCAGTTATTTATCATATTTTCGCCATTTCGCTGTTCGTGAGAAGAAATTGAATCCGTGAAATGATAAGACACGGACGTATTTGATGTCGTTATACATCCAGATCGCGAAAATTTCATTCGATAAGATATAATTTGGTCATTTTAATCGCGAAAATGTTGGCACGTTGAATTGGCTAGCTATTAGATAAATTGATCAGTTTATCTGTGTTTATAATACCGTAATCTCACGGTGTGATAATTCAGTGTATAGACAGCGGACATGGAAAACCTTTTATTTGTCAATATAATATACAGTTGAAAAATTGCCATCTTATTTAACGACGCCAAACCGTATCTCCGCTGCGTGTCAATGTTTCGGCGGAGAGGGGTGTCTGGTTGTATACGTCGGTAATGCGGGTTTGTCTCAAGGACAACTCGCATGCTGTGAAATTATATGTAATATTCGAAAAGAATTCCAGTAAAGAGACCCGGAGAAATTTCTTTTAAAAGTTGACTTATTATCGAACAGTCGTGATCCTTCTTAATTTTGTTGAACATCAGGGTACAACCCCACTGGGGATAAAAAGCATTATGGGGATCTAGTAGTATTTTCTTTGTTGTTTTATGGAAACGTTCTGATAATCTCATTTGTCGGCAGATATTTTGTTCTATGTGGGCAAAAACAGATTTGTTTTTCGTGATTAAGTGAAGATATTAGATAAAAAAAAATCCATTTCTTAGTTTTTAGTGTCATCTAGTGTTCTGGGTGTGAATTTAGAAAATACAATTACCGTATATTAATTTTGGGGATTTTAATAATGCTGGCTATTTAGCGGGGATATAGTTTCGTTGATTTTCGCAGTGACACCCGTGCTTGTTTACTGAAATATCAAAAACACATTCTTACTCTCAAAAAGATCTAAATAATGTATGACCAAGTATACGAGAAAATTACACAGTGACATAAAGTTAATCTGATCCCGTGATAAACTTCCGCGTCTGCCTGTTACGTGATCGTCTCGAAAGTAAATGGCATGTTGATATCTGTTTAAGAGTATCAATGTAAAAATTGGTAAAAAATGTTTCAAGTACGTGTCATTCGAACGTTTCTTTAAATTGGAAGGTTAATTGATACGAAATTTCCATTAAAATTAAAATCTTACAACATTCAATTAAGATAATACAAATTGAAACTTAATTTCAAAACATATTAAGCAAAACAAAAATTCGCGTTAATCTCTTTTGTATACGCAAATGTCAAATACACAGCTATTATTAGTTGCAGCCTATTAACACCCCTCGGTAATCGGATTCCCTGACTTGGCGTGTTTAAGTGTTATTTGAGGGCCGCTCTGGGAACTAGTTCATTTGACAACGCAGAATAGAAAGCTATTAATTTGGTAATATTGCCTGGTATGAGAACCATTTGCCAATGATTAAATGTCGTTTAATTGGAACACTCGGATTACATGGTAAACTGTCCAATTTAACTGGCTTTATTGCAATATCAGAAGACTGGTTGGTAAAAGAAATATTTGAGTCTTCGTCAATCATTAGTGCGACGTCAAAATTTGGCGAGGGGAGATTACTCTGAATTCGAATTTTTCTCTATGGGCATACGGAATGTGATTCTAAAAACGGTATGCATGTAACGTTTGTATGCAGCCTCGGAGATATTGCAAGCATGCAAAACCCCTTAGTATTATCCATAACCTTTGTTAGTTTGTTTTTTTCTATCTATTTTATTTTGATATTCGAAAAATTCAAAACTGTTTAAAGAATGTCTATATGGGTTAATTAAGCAACTCAAGGGCCTCCCATGGGTAATTAAGCAACTCAAGGGCCTTCCATGGGTTGGTTGGCAACTCAAGGGCCATCCATTGGTAAGTTGGCAACTCAAGGGCCTCCCATGGGTAATTTGGCAACTCAAGGACCTCCCATGGGTAAGTTGGCAACTCAAGGGCCTCCCATGGGTACTTTGGCAACTCAAGGGCCATCCATTGGTAAGTTGGCAACTCAAGGGCCTCCCATGGGTAATTTGGCAACTCAAGGACCTCCCATGGATAAGTTGGCAACTCAAGGGCCTCCCATGGGTAATTTGGCAACTCAGGGGCCTCCCATGGGTAATTTGGCAACTCAAGGGCCTCCCATGGGTAAAAAAATGTACTTTTATTTCATGAGTTTTAATCTTTTGCTACATATTTCTGATTATGTTTTGTTTATCAGTAAGGCCATTGGTAAGTAGCTAGTTAACACCTCACTAAACAACATACAACAGGACCGTCTCATGTCGTTCAGATCAAATGGGTTAAAACGTCTTGTCCATGACCGTAACCACAATGACAAAGACTGGTCCGTTTCTCAGCTTATGAAAAAAAACATTAATCACCAAGGGTAGGAATATGGCACCACACACTTCGGATCTTGACCCGAAGTTGATTAGGTGAACCTGTTGAGTAGCGACCAAGCTCAGGTATCACCATTACTTTGAATCACAAGCATATTTCGTTTTCTTTCTTAGGTTCATTTTTTCCATGTTTTTTTCAAGTTGATGACTCAAAAACGGCAAACAGGCGTGTTTTACGGTCTAAAGTATGCTTAAGGTTCCGGTGGTGTTTACATTGTCACATGGCGGGTGTCTTCGATGAAGCTTAACACCCTTACGCTTCCGGAACATATGGTCTCAATCTCTTAATCCAAAATTAACACGAGGATACAGAACTTTAAGATTTTCACAAATAGCTTTTATGTGATTCTGTATTAGTAAATCTAGTACTTACTGTCGGAGTGTTCATGGTAAAAATTACTGATTCTATCTCAACAGACACCTGACTCGATATCAATAGACACCTGACTCGGTCTCAATAGCCACCTGGCTCGGTCTCAATAGCCACCTGACTCGATCTCAATAGACACCTGACTCGGTCTCAATAGCCACCTGGCTCGGTCTCAATAGCCACCTGACTCGATCTCAATAGACACCTGACTCGGTCTCAATAGCCACCTAACTCGGTCTCAATAGCCACCTGACTCGGTCTCAATAGCCACCTGACTCGATCTCAATAGCCATCTGACTCGGTCTCAATAGCCACCTAACTCGGTCTCCATAGCCACCTGACTCGGTCTCAATAGCCACCTGACTCGATCTCGATAACCACCTGACTCGGTCTCGATAGCCACCTGACTCGGTCTCAATAGCTACCTGACTCGGTGTCAATAGCCACCTGACTCGGTCTCAATAGCCATCTGACTCGGTCTCAATAGACACCTGACTCGGTCTCAATAGCCATCTGACTCAATGACAGGTTTCCGCATACTGTATAATAGATAAAATGTGAGACAGCGTCTGCATCAATGAAAGTAAACTTCGGTACAGGGATGTAACTACGTAAAGAGCCATCAGAAGGATCTCCAACTACATATAGGGATCGTAATATGAGATTAACTTTAAGATTACAGACTAATAGGGATCGTAATATGAGATTAACTTTAAGATTACAGACTACAGTCACCGTATATTTTGATTTATAAGAACTGTAACATTACTCTTTCCTATAATATTCTATACAGCTGTAACATCTGACCAGCAATCAAAGGCACTGAAATATAACATATACTGTTTACAAAAATAGGTTTATCTGTCCACCTCAAATTGCTACAGGACATCTCAAAGCAGATTATTAAGAAAATAATAATAGTAAAAAAATAAGACAAAAGCACACTTATAGGCTTCCGAGTTCAGGAAAATGTTAACATAATAACTTAGAAAATAACTCAGACTTTACACTAAAATACCTACTGAAACGTTTCATCAACTGCATTACCAATATATTCAAATTCAAATTCATTTATTGACTTTGAGCTTTACAGCTCATCAGTATGTACACAATACATATAAATACAGTGGCAGGCAATGCAATACCGCAGTGGAGAATGGACAGAAAATGCATGTAGTTACATATATTTTAACATTATATCATGCTATTCCTCAACTGGGTGGCATCATATATATATTTACTTAACATAGTTAATTCTTTAAAGTTCGTTGTACTCAATAATTGTATCAGCTTGAAAACTATAATAATACTATAATACAGGGCAAAAAAGATCAAGAATCTGTTAGGTAGCCGAAACCTGTATCCAGTTGGCGGTAAACAATGGTTAGTTAATAACTCTGTAACATAAGGGCTTCTCATGTTCATCTTGTCCTCTGTTAGACTTGATAGATAAGCATTTCTACTGCTTTGTTTGAAAATATAAACCTTTGTCTTTTGAGATAGCATAAACATTTATACAAACGAGCGAGTTAACAACATCGGAACGCGTGTCTTTGTTATAACTTTTCTCCTAGAAATATTCTTTATTGCTTTGTTTAAATATATATATTATAATTCTAATGTTATTTAGTTTGAATCATGTCATGTTTATGTGTTCATCGTAACACTTCGTCATTGCTTTTACAGGAGTGTCTGGGTGAATATCTCCCGTGCCTTTATTACCAGCATCAATCATAGCCCCCCACCTCATCTCTTGAATCTCATTGCAGGTTCGCCAACATGTTTTATGTCATTTATACAAATTCCGACAAGCTTTATTAGTTCACAGAATAGTTACTCCGACCTTAAGCAAATACACTAGTTTATATTTGATTAGAAAACAAACGATTCGTCACATTATCAAGTAGCAACGCGTCGTCACGTTCTAGACGAGATTTGGCGATAAATACGGGTCTGATGGTGTATAATGTCACAGGGTCAAGGTTAGCGTTACTGTTTGTAAGACGCAATGCTGAAAACTATCTATTTCAAGAACTATTTACAGATATTTCAATCAGGTGAAAGATGACTTTGTAAGCTTTGTTCTGAACCAGAAATATCCTTTTATATCCTACGGCAAACAAATTTACGAGATATTCTTCAAAATTTGTGTCAATTAGTGTATCATTACCAAGATCATTTACTGGACACTATGAATGCGATTATATAACGTTTGTGATATGATTGGAGAAATATGAAATGACGTCACTGACTTACACACATGGCATTAAAATGGATACAATATCTAAACGGACATTTTTAAAGAACAATATATTTTTGCCCACGAATCGTTTTAGACTGAGTTGTGTGTTATTTATAGCATGTTGAGAGAAAGCCCATTAAATGTATTTTTAAAATCCAAAAGTTTGCTAGGGCGTGTGAGATGGTATAATTTCTGTCCCGAGCCATGGGTCTGAGACAGGGTTCACTGCTTTGTCCAAAAAACTACCAAAACATCAGTTAACACCATCAAATAGTTTTTAAATGTTTGAATAATAGGGAACTGCTGCAAATTATGATTTCAAACTTAAATTAAAATAACAAAATAAAAAAGTTATACTATTTCAAACATGAAAACTGTTAGAATGTTGGGCACATTTTCAGATATTACAACTTTTCACGAAAGCGATATACCAACTTCCGGTTTGAGATATTATTGGCGCCATATGTTGCGAGTATATATTGAAAACTTCATAAATATCGAGAAAAGGTAAAACTGTCGTCTAAAAGTCCCACTTTAGTAAGGTCTATTCTTAGGAAAGTCCAACGACCCTAGGACGATATTCTTGTTTGATAGTTAAGCAATATTGGCTCTATATCCCCCTCATTCCTCCCATTCCTCTAAACTTTTAAACAATTTACTCTCAAGGGTAGGAAGACCTTATAGAGGTGAATTGTATGTCGTCAGCACAGCTAAAACAATCCACGCGAGTAGTCGGGACGAGAATTAACATTAACTCTGTATGTAATGATTAAGATTTTTCTTGATGACCTTACAATGCAATCACATTTATTTCGATGATCGATAGAGAGGTTTTTCTGCTTCCGTCATTTCCTATAGAAATGTTAAACCATTCACACTTGAGCAAGCATCTGTATTGTTCGAGAAAGGCACAACGACAGAATGAAGTTAATGACGAGCTTGGTATCAGAAGCTGCGTTCAATCAGCAATTCCCTCGTCTTTGATGTTCCACACAGCCATATCCGAACACCATCATGATCCATTACACTGAGTGACAACTTTATCCCTGACCAATTTAATAAATTACTGATATTAACCTTGCTCGATTAAAGAGCGTGGGAGCATCACCTGATATCACGCAAATATGCGTGACCTCCCGATTTGACCGGGCGTGGTTATTCCTCTTCAACTTGAAAGCGTGAGTATCAAGCAAAATTTCCGAACATTTTTATCTTGAATGCTCCATAGCTTTCACTTAAAGGTTGAAGAAAGATGGATGTCATCTTTACGGAATTCATGAAAATTAAAAGGATAATGATTTTATCTATTAACATACTCTCCCAGCAACCTATTTTTACGGTGTAATATCACCGCCGAAAATTGCGAAAAATAAATTTTAAAAACCCTAAATTAAACCCTTTCCAGTATCCTATTGAAAGTGTTAAAATGAAATGTCCAAACAACAATATCAGTCTTTTTCTGACATACGTCATCACATTAACATGACAGAAATCATATGTGCGTCTAGTAAATACACTATGTGTAGTATTTAACGTCCATTCTAAGGAAAACAAGCTACTTTGTGATTCCACAATTTTTGTTGGTACATGTTTATAATAGTGTTAATACCCAAATCAATTAATCAATCGATTAAAACCTGAAATAGATGAAGCAGTTGCAAAGAATAAATAAAAGATTTCCACGGAGATGTTCCTTCTGGTGGATACCCGCCATGGATACTGTAGTCATTCGCGCGTGCTTGATGAAACGAAATTATCGATTTTGATTCGGTATTGATTTCATTGACAGCGCTGCTGTTATTTGTTTATATAATAATTTTGTATCATACAGATATGTATATTTATATATATAAACACGCACCAACCGAAAGTCATAATCCGCTCTTCAAATAATGGGAATGTTTGGTAGAAACTGAAAACGGTTTTAGCTTATCAAAATTAAAGTGAATGATCCTTTATGTGACTCCTGCGTATATAAAATAGATCGCATTATACCAAACTTTCATTTGTGACATACTTCCAATTCAAAATAAACCGAGCGATATCGCATATTGAGCGGTGAATGTAGGATGTCACGATAATTCCGCACTCGCTTTTCACACGGACATTCAGGGTTCGATTCTCCGAGAGGATGTGAGAAGGTATAGAGACCACCTGCCCAACCACACTGGTTTTCGCCGGTACTCCGGTTTCTTCCCACAGAAAGATCCCTCGCACACTTCAATCCCAGTCAACAAGTGATTCATGTAACCCGATAGCTTGTTTTGCATTTTTTGTAAAATGAATTAATTACGTACATGATATTTATGTATCGAAGATGATAGTGGAATACAACAGGAACCAAAACATCATGATCTGTTTTATCATTGTCAATATTATTGTATATTATCAAATAAGATTTTCACCGGAACGACATTTTCTCCCGTTGTGACAATTCCTGAATCTTCCATCTTAAACCAAATCAAGACATTGATAGCACACATGTCTGTCTGTCTGTCTGTCTGTCTGTCTGTCTGTCTGTCATATATTTCTCGTGAATCGTTATTTATCGATCTTGGGGAATATGGAGAGAGTGTAACTGCAAACGACTGGTTGTAGAAAATTTATATATAATAGTTACCACTATTAATTAACTTTAATTATTTACTCAGAATCTGATATATAATATCAGATATCTGACCTTGGTATTGAAGAGAACGGAAACAATAAAACCATACCTATATCATCCAGAATGTTCATATAGTTTTTAGCTGCTCCAGGGAGGTATTCCGTCTCATACTGTTGTAAGATCGAGTCCACCAGGGGGCGATGGCGGCGGTCTGCAACGACTTTCGAGAGTCCGTTGTCGGACACAACCATCGGGATTGAGTCGAGGAATAGCGACCGATTTAAATGTGAAGAAGGCCAGTCAATTTTATCAAACAGATAATAATTTAGAAAGTACACACTTTCATCACTGTTAACTCCCATTAGTAAAGACTTGTTGGGAAAGCGACCAGCGCGTAAAAATTCCTTTGGACTTTGTTTTATAAAGTGATTATCCGTGGTTGGAACTATTGGAAACGTAAGGAATGTTATCGGAAGTCTCCATTGGTAATCCGACATGGTCTTTGCGTCAGCATGTTGTAGGCAATGTAAGCTGTCACCTTCATCACCGGACGAACAGTTCATCTCCTTGGCCAGGAGCTTTGCATAGGCGAGGGCGGTTTCAGGTGTCACGTGGGCCCAGTGACTCAGGCACGTGCCACTTTGCATAATTGCTCGTTGAAAAAGAGGCTGGGACATTTCAGACATAAGATGATAACTCACACTAGCTGCTCCAGCGCTCTCTCCAAACAGAGTAATATCATTCGGAACTCCTCCGAAATTTTCAATATTTTTATTAATCCATTGCAATGCTAAAACTTGGTCCAAAAGACCAACATTTCCAGGCGCTTCTTCGTTACCGAAATATAAAAATCCAAGCGGTCCTAAACGGTAATTAATTGATACAACAATGATATCTGCATATGCAGCGAGAGCCGTCCCATCATACAGCTCGAGGGCGGAAGTTCCGGTTACAAATCCCCCACCAAATATCCATACCATTGTAGACTTCACAGGGATTTCCCGGTTGACGGGAACCCAAATATTGAGGTAGAGACAGTCTTCACTCATCGGAGTCTTCGGGTTCCAGATAGCTTCTCCCTCCTCGCCGACCTGTAACACGGAACAATCAAGTAAATCTAAAATTAACTACAGTAACTAGTAGTAATACAGTACGTCACATATTAACCATTCAAACATCAAACCCTCTATATAACAATGTTTAATACTGAAAACACAAACAAAAAACAAAAACAAACAAACAGAAATTTACAGCTAAGAAGATTATGTTAAGTGATTCTTGTTTCGTTACCGTGTAGCTGACTATTTTTGAGTGCCATTTTCCCGATTTTCAGTTAAAACATTTAAAAATGGAGAAAAGGAAGACAGAAACCAATGAAGGAATACGGATTTCAAGGTCTGAATACAGAAATGTTCAGAATTTTTCATAGAAGCTCAAATTTCTAGTACGTGAGGTTTAGCTAACTGAGGTGTCGAAAACAAAAAATGGTCTTGAAAGGGTAATGTAAATTGCGAATATGGTGCAGTTCTTTAATTGATCAGAGCCCCGATTAGCGATTTGATTTCGACAAATTTTATTTGTATCAATATGTACAAAACGATTGGACAAGTTTTCAAGTTTACAAGAAGCCCTTTCCCCCTATAGAAATTTTACAACTGTATACAGACAAGGTGACATGTTTGTATATATACATTTTTATACGAGAGAGAGAGAGAGAGGAAGGACAGAAAGGGGGGGCGGAGAGAGAGAGAGGAGGGACAGAGTACGGGGCAGAGAGAGAGGAGTGACAGCGAGAGGGCGGAGAGAGAGAGGGAGGGACAGAGAGAGGGGGCGGACAGAGAGCGGGGCAGAGAGAGAGAAGGGACAGAGAACGGGGGCAGAGAGAGGGGGCGGAGAGAGAGAGGGGGAGGGACAGAGAGAGGGGGCGGAGACAGAGAGGGAGGGACAGAGAGCGGTGGCAGAGAGAAAGAGGAGGGACAGTGAGCAGGGGCAGAGAGAAAGGAGGGACAGAGAGAGGGGGCGGAGAGAGAGAGGGAGGGACAGAAAGGGACAGAGAGAGGAGGCAGAGAGAGAGGGAGGGACAAATAGAGGAGGCGGAGAGAGAGAGAGGTGGGACGGAGAGAGAGAGAGAGAGGAGGGACAGAGAGAGGTAGCGGAGAGAGAGAAAGGGGAGACAAAGAGAGGGTTCGGAAAGAGAAAGGAGGGACAGAAAGAGGGGGCGGAGAGAGAGAGGGACAAATGGAGGAGGCGGAGAGAGGAGTGACAGAGAGAGGTAGCGGAGCGAGAGAAAGGAGAGACAAAGAGAGGGTTCGGAGAAAGAAAGGAGGGTCAGAGAGAGGAGGCGGAGAGAGGGAAAGGAGGGACAAAGAGAGGGGACGGAGAGAGAGAGGGAGGGACAGAGAGAGGGAAGGACAAAAAGAGAGAGAGCGAGAGAGAGACAGGAAGAGGTGAGTAAGAGAGAGAGAGAGAGTGATTCAGAGGAAAACGATTCTTGGGCATTAATTGTCATAATTGCGATGATGATTCATTGTGAAATGACTTTGATAGCGAAGTGGTCTTTTAGTAAGGTTTGGGAGGAACAGAAGTGTCGAACCATTTAGTTTCACCTTACCAATCATATCTGTTATCAGATTTACAACCATACAATAAGAAAGTTATCTATATTTTGTTACTGTAATGGTTGGTATCTACATTGTACAATAAGAAAGTTATCTATATTTTGTTACTGTAATGGTTGGTATCTACATTGTACAATAAGAAAGTTATCTATATTTTGTTACTGTAATGGTTGGTATCTACATTGTACAATAAGAATGTTATCTATATTTTGTTACTGTAATGGTTGGTATCTACATTGTACAATAAGAAAGTTATCTATATTTTGTTACTGTAATGGTTGGTATCTACATTGTACAATAAGAAAGTTATCTATATTTTGTTACTGTAATGGTTGGTATCTACATTGTACAATAAGAAAGTTATCTATATTTTGTTACTGTAATGGTTGGTATCTACATTGTACAATAAGAAAGTTATCTATATTTTGTTACTGTAATGGTTGGTATCTACATTGTACAATAAGAATGTTATCTATATTTTGTTACTGTAATGGTTGGTATCTACATTGTACAATAAGAATGTTATCTATATTTTGTTACTGTAATGGTTGGTATCTACATTGTACAATAAGAAAGTTATCTATATTTTGTTACTGTAATGGTTGCTATCTACATTGTACACACTTTGTCGACGAAGGACAGAAATGGCATCTGGAAACAGGCGTTGTGCCACGAACTGGTATTGAGAACGCCCTCCCAACTTTCCGCCGGCAGGGGGCGTTTAAAACGAAGGCTACCAATAGGTGGCATGGCGAACGGAATTCCTAAATATGTCTTTATTTTCTTTCCAAACATTTCTTGTACATATCCAACTATTTTCCCGTGAGTTGTCTGTACTTCCGGTAAATCTTGTGCGTGTGCGCATGAGTGAAGAATGACTATTAGTAACCATGATGCTTTAAACCAAATGCTCATTCTCTCCGAGATCTGAAAAGAGAAAAAGAAAATATGTAATATGAACTTTTTAAATTGTCGTGATCTGACAAAATGTGTATGCATTCAATAGCGATCTTTAAACGTAGAACAAATCACTCACTCTCCATGGAAGAAAAATTCTTGATTGACAGACGAATGTATCAATTGTTTTTACAAAAGCAAGAGCCGGTTGCACCATTTGAAATATTTTGTTATAATATTTGCAATCATTTATTCATTTTCACGTTCTCAATTCGGTAAATATATATAAAAACAGAACAAAAACAAATAAAGAGTTATATAACTGCATGTTTGTACATTTCAAAAACGGTGCCCGCAGTTGTAATGCCAACTGGAAAGTAACATTTCATATTGAGGTCAGATATTGTATGTAAAATCACACCAGTTTATATTTCCATGTACAGCTGTTGGGATTCACTTTTCGATCAAGTTCAAAAGTACCTATAAAATCGAGATCCAGCAAAATTATTTGAAAACGCAATGTTTAATCCAGTAAAGATTTCGTTAGCAGTAGAGAGAAATATTTTGAGACAACACTTAAGAGACCTTTTGGTTTTTCTGGTTACAACATACAACTTACTACAGCAAAGCATATTCACAAGCGTCTCTGTAAATTTTCATAGAAATCTACAAATGATCTCCTTGTATTATATAGTAACACAAACAGCTTGGAATGGTCCTTTCAACCTGTCAAGTACAGATTGTTAATTGTTATAGCTATGTGAAATCATTTTTTATTGATTTATCTCGGTTTTTTCTTGTTTTTTTTTTTGTTTTTTTGTTTTTTTTATTATTATTTTGTTTTTTGTTTTGGTATTATCATTGATTTTGTATTATGTTACAATCAATTAGCTATCGGAACACAATTTGCCTGTACCATATGATTACAAGATTATCATTTCAGAATCCTGCATGCCAAGTAATTTAAGGTCTGTAGTTTCAGCCTGGTAACAAACGTTTTAAACATAATATGATCAATGCATTCAAGCCTTTATACAGTGTTAAAATCGAGACAGACAATAAAAATTCATTTGTATCAACAAATGTTACTCTCGGAAACCTGTTAGTTCTTTGTCCGACAAATATCCACTTTATCGTTGTTATTTGCGATTCAGGAACCTGGAAGTGTGGGTATATTTGTACCAGTGTTCAGGATCACATCTCTATAAATATCCAGCTGAATGTCGAATTTCCAATAAACTAGACTGTTTATGGTGTGTTTTAGGGATATTTTACGTACTCTGTGGTACATTCATGCCTCTAAGGGTGAGATGACCGCCTATAGTGTGTCTGAAACTTTAACGAAATTATGATCTAGGGAAATCATGCCTGATCTGTCAGCGAAACAGGTATGGAACGCACGGGGTATACATCACGAAGCTGTTAGCAGAGGATCTATTTCGAACGAAGGAAATACGATAGAAGGGGGTGGGTGGGTGGGTGGGGGGGGGGGGGGGGGGGGGGTGGGGTGGTGGTGGGGCGGTAACCTCAATTATGTATAAAACTTTGTCATTCGCCCTTCTACGACTCGTTCTTGAACCTATGTTTTATCAGTAAAAACAATAAATCCAAGTTTACCATAAATGAATGTAAAGTTCATGCCAATAGCACAAGGCATCTTCGGCAAACAAGTTATCGCAAGATGCTCCTATTTCACAGATAAATCAAATTATGACATGCTGTAACTTTTGATATGGGCGTATTTTCCGTTTTATTGTGTTTATTCGTTGCTAAACAGTTAACGATGTGTTTATAAAAAATTCAATGGACAAGAATAAATATTTGTATCGCATGATAAATTATTTTGCCAAACATTGTGAAAAAGAAATTGTATCTTAATTGTTATCTTGGCTCTATGTTATGGCTGGTGTCGCCGATGAAGCAGAAGGGACTCCTTTACTTATTCTCCTTGTACGTTTTTCAGAAGCCTCTGTGTAATTTTTTCTTTTGTTTATGTTTGTCCTAGCTTTATTAGATTTGAGTTTCGATCATTATCATGTTGACATACTAGTATTGTTGTTTTTCTCTATATCTATAATATATATAATAGAACAGGACTGAAACATACCCAGTTACGACAATAAACAGTGCAACTAGCCAATCAATGCTACCATTAGAACGCCAGAACACAGATTAAGGACGAAACCTTTCATTATTTTCTCGGTATCATTTCTCTCAGTAGTCGGTTAAAATATCTTCACTCTCCTAAGCGTTAAAAAGAAATAAACATTTTCATCATTACAGAGACATCATGCTTTGTCATTAAGTTAAATACATTTTGATATCTCATTCCTTAAGTAAAATAACGACGGATTTGATAGGGACTTGTCGATTTGTCCTACTCCTTGACAGGCTGAAGAGAGGGTGCATTATTGTGATGGTACATGTAATTATCCTGCACTCCAGCACTAGGTTCACTCTTACTTATAATCAATATGGTGTCAATTGGTAGGTGTGCATCCATCTTCATATAATGTTAAGTGTACTTTTATTTGTACGGAGCGATTCGATTTGATATACACATGCATGCAATGCCCAAATAACACAAAGGATGGATCCAGGCACTCCTTCGCTAAAACAATCATGCCTTGCCTACTGTGTAGTTCTATAGCTCGGCTGTCGCGGTTCTGGCCAGTTTATGGGGATTACGTATTGCGCATGTCAACGCGTTACTCTCAATGTGTAAAGGCATATTACACATACTTCCTTATGTTTGAATTCTATGGTAATATTTTTTCGGTGTGTATTTGTGTGAGGGGAGAGGGGTTATAATTTCGGAATTTTCACTATAATGTATCTTGGTTATGGAATCGGATTTTAGACAAGTTCACTAGTTCATGTTTAATATAACCAACCCGCAAATGTCGATCGACAATAAAACACGTATCTTGATATACATTCTGGTAGACAAAAACAAAAAACAAAAACAAAAAAAATACAAAGCGTAACATTACTCTGGTCGACTATTACTGTTTGATTTTTTATGGTATAGACTTCTGACTGTGATATTGTGTTTCAGTTTGTGCCGGGTTGAGTAGCTGTATCAAGTCGGTTTGACATCCACACAGGACAATAGACAAACTGTAAAACCTGTGGTGTGGCACGGCAGGATTATTTGTTGTTCGCAAAGGGAAATGTAAAATTCTTATACTAGTGCTTGTTTTCTTGCCAAAATTGTTCGAATGATATTTTTTCCGTAATTTTGTCTCTGTATCTGTAGATTTCATTTATATCACAACTATCTTTAAACAAGAAATATCACCGTTTTTTAATCATTCTTGTCTGCCAGATATAAGTACACGCAAAGTGGTCTACCAGGGGAAACCCTCGCGTGATGGATACGTGCCTATTCCCGCTCGGTCGGGAAACTAAACATCGGTCACCTTGGTAAAAATCGATTACATAACTACTTCGATTATCCTTTACAGCTTCTTTATTAATACATACTGTAGTTTTAACACAGTATTTCTTTCACTTTTTGTCTTTCATTTCAGTTGGAAAAAGGACGAAAATACTTACATGTCAACATAATTATAATTCAATCTCGATTTCCATACAACTAGGGCAAAATTTGAAGCAAGAGAGTAATTACACTCATGAAAAAGTAAAAGGAGAATAAGACCAGGTGTTCCGGAAGAGTAAACATCCTCAGTCTGTATCTTATAAAAAGCCATTCCCTGTTCTACCTATGACGTCGTTTTCTGTTTATACTGCTACACTTTAGAGTTTTCTACACGTTCCTTCGCTGCTACATGATGTCACACTGTACTTTTGCCAGCACTGCACTCTCCTTCATTAAATGGCATTTTGGCCTGCAAGCATACACTGTCCAGTCCCGTTGTCATGGTTCACTGTCGTCATATGGTCTTCAAAACGGTGCAAAAAGAACCCCCAGCCATATATAAAATCACTCCGCATTTGATTTGGATATTAAAAGGCAGATGTACTGATGCTGTGAACAAGTGGGGGATATGTCTGACATGATACAAAGATTTAATTAAGAACAGCAGGAGTCAGAATCACGACCATAAATGTCAGTCACATTTACTGTTTTTGTTTCTTTGGAGTAATAGAATATTCTGATAGAAACCAATAACCTGGTTTTCATCGAAGCGATAAAATATTGCATCCAAATATATGTCTCCCATGTTTGTTTAACATTCTAACAGGAGACACAGTTTGGTTGCAGTGCTACGCTGAAAATGATACAAAAATTGAGAAGATACGGGTTCTTACCTTACCAGGCCTCTAAGCTGGTATCCGATGTTTTTTACCTCACCAGGCCTCTAAGCTGGTATCTGATGTTTTCTACCTCACCAGGCCTCTAAGCTGGTATCTGATGTTTCTTACCTCACCAGGACTCTAGGCTGGTATCTGATGTTTCTGACCTCACCAGGCCTCTAAGCTAGTATCTGATTTTATTATTGGTCAATATTTATTTTGTTTTTGTTTTCTTTTGAATTTTGTTTTTTTCAGATGTTGGCATTTATTTGGCAACTGATTCTGTAAAATATTTCTCTAACAGATTCCACTGGTACTGAACTTCGTGTCAGTTTACTGTTCAGCATGATATGGATATACAAATTGTAGAATATAAAACCGTAATGGATATAAATTATTTTAAAATTGTATTTATTTTTTTTTTAAAACCGAAGTCGATTCGAACATTAAAGAAGTGGTATCTAACATGAAAATTGGAGTTAGTAACCAGATATATTTAATCTTCTGTATACACCCAATATCAATTTAGCTGAGTAGTCACTTCTGCGTTTGACGCAGACATATTTGGTGATTTCGTGTAAAAAGCGTCCGTGTTACATGGAGTCGCCGTTTGGCCTATACACTGTGTCGGAATTTGCGCGATATGACAAGAATGCACTCGGTAGTTATACATCAATGCTGTATTTTATTGCACCTTAATGATCTCAGATTAAAACCACATCAATAATTTCTAGCCGTAGCGGGGTAATCACGTCTACTTTTCCCTATAAAATGACAATTTAGTACGAATTTGAAACCCAGCTCCGTAAAAATACGACATATAATCAAATTAGGGCGTGTAACATAATTTAAAGGCTTTTTATTAACTAGAAAAGTTACTAGCTAAATGCAGAACAATATTCACTGTCGTATTGATAAAGAAATGCGATCTAATATTGCATCGTTCCAGGCTAGTTTTACGTTTTCGAATCCCTATTACAATAGCAATCGGGCGAATTAATGATGTTGAATACCATTGTACGGGAAGTAAATCGAGTGCGCCCTATAGCGATAGAAATCTCCAACATCTTATTCTCAGCTGCACCCTTATTGTTTCCATACATTTCTATTTCAGAAGACTTTAACTAAATTTAATTTCCATTATTTTGAAAAGTGAGAATGGAACAGGCGTTTGGAATTACATCATATTTTGTTTTTGTTGTTTGGATAAAGGCGATCAAGAGAGTTACACATTTCAGAAAAAATATGTTTAGCTACAGAAGAGCTAAAAGCTTAGTTAAAAACTCTACCATACAACCGTTGACTCCAAGGACTCGTCAGTGATGCTAAGCGACCAAATTTGATACAATTTTATAGTAAGATACATTTAGAGCCAAATATGAACTCAACTGCATCCTACACGGTTTCATCCTGATAGGACTCGTCAGTGATGCTAAGCGACCAAATTTGATACAATTTTATAGTAAGATAAAGTAGGACCAAATATGAACTCAACTGCGCCATACAGCTGTTTCGTCCTCATATGACTCGTCAGTGATTCTATTGTCCTAAATTTTCTTAAGTCTTTGAGGTGATTGAGGAAAATTTTTAAAATGACGGTAAGAAATAGCACTAACATAATATAATGAGTTTCGTAATTTGCGTACACACCATTTCGGAAGGACGTAAAAAGTATATGTAAATTTTGAACCATGCTGCAAAACCAGCAGTGAGACATTCTTATGCGGAATAAATGTCATTTGTTCATGGTACGGTTAGTATTTACAGAAATGTTTGACAGAGAACATATCTGATAGCCAATGAAATCATTGTCAGTATGAGGGGTTAGCTTCCCTCACTTGCTATGTTTAAGCACGTTGCCCTATAAATATGGGGACATTAGATAACTATTTTCAAGTGTCTTTCTGACATATTCGAGACACTGTTCATTGACATTTTGTCGGTCGGTGGTAGGAAAACTAACAACGTCATTACATTTTAAACATAATAAAACTCACTAACACTAAGGGAATGACATACTGTATATTTCCGTGGGGTTGAAATTTCGCGGTATTCATAAAATGCGGATGTCCTTGACTCCGTGGTTGAATATATTCCAGACAAATGTAATAATGCCAAAATATATTCCTTTGTTCTAGCAGTTAATTGTTTCATGGTCATATCAGTTTGTTGATAAAGAGAAACCATGAAAAAATGAAAATAAAAACTCAAAGAAAATCAAATAATTTGATATTTTGCAGTAACTATACTGAACATATTTTTAACATCATGTCTATCATAGCATTCGAATTGTGCAGAAAGTTGAAGGTTCTTTGCTTTACGCGTCGAATTTAATTACATTTCCTTATCGGATATTAGTACAAATGTCAAAATCCAGTTAAGTCATTTCTCTGAGAAACTGATCTTCCTTGAATGCATGATTTGTTTTAATTCTTCAGGTGATTTGTTCTGTGAGTAATTAGAAGAGGTCTAGGAAAGTGTCAGACATCACGTGACAGGGAATCAGACATTCCGTTGATCAGACATAGAAAGATAACAGCGAATTGATAGCAGTTGTAGGGGCAAGAAGACCGGTCAGAAATCAAATTAAGTCTTCAGGTTCTGTAGGGAACAGACCACAGCACACAACGGAACACACACATTACCATCACAAACGCCTTGAGCGTTTTCTTACAGGCAAATGACACGCTGGGATACTTCTTTTGAAAGCTGTCTGTTCTTTGATACCAAGAGACACTCATACTCTGAACATCTGTCTAATCAAGAAAAGTTAGAGAAATTCTTCTCCGAAAACTTGTCTGTTCCAGCGCTCCTGAGCCTCTCAGACGGCACAAGACACGCTATAACTGATACTTTAAACATACGTTTATATGTCTAGGGCAATTGATATATTCCTGTAGAAACAAGTGACAAATACCACAGGGAAAAACACGATTATCACATAAAATACACATATATACTTTTATTTACCTACTTCCGTTTTGTATCACAAGTAACCATTAATGATTTTGAAATGTCTTACGTCGTAGTAGTTACTGTAAAGTTATTGCTATTCTCGTGGGATTTTAATTTCGCGATATTGCGGTATGTCTATAACACCGAGAATAATAACTAAATGAAAGCAATCTGTCGCCTACTAGGTTTCAACAATTTAGACAATTAGCGACACGAATAAAGCCTAGACGGAAAAAAACAGCAGTATGATGCAATTTTTTTTACTGAAAACTGTGTGTCTTTAGAATAATTGTAGTAATCATTCCTTGGTATATCTTTGTACCTGTTATCTGTGAACATTTGTCGAAGCGTTGATGTATGAAACAAGAGGACACCAGTTCCTATTGGAACGATCATGATATCAAAACAAGAAAATAACAACAGGTGAAGGTAATTATAATCCAATCCTGAAATTGATAAAACTAGGACGAAGTATAACTAAAACAGGGAACTACACGGTGACATCTGAAAGAGGACAATGGTTAAAAGACCAGGTGTTCAGAAAAAGTAAGCGTCTTATGCTTTATTGTCGATATATCAACCCTACTAAATTAAATGGCGATTAAGGCATTTCTAGAACATTCGGGATCATTTAAGTATGCTATTAAGACGTGTTAAAAATGTGTTTCTGTCCCGAATCAAATCATACTGATATCAATTTTACAAGTGATACTGTACATTTCAATAAATGCACTTCACCTTAATACAATTGCTTCCATTCAGGCTATGACGTTTTGCAATATAAACTAATTTGAATAGTTAATGCCACTGTCTAAACCAGGTTGGTAATAGGGCTTGTTAATATTTGTGCTAGACCGAGCCAAATCTGCTAGTCAATGTACATGAAAAGTACCACACTTTCCACACATCAGACTCCATAGACATGTACACGAAAAAAAACGTCCCGAAGGGATAATCACTTGGAGTTCACCGGACTTTTAGGTCAAAGTGAGATGGGTAGTCTGGGATTCTTGGAACAATTTAACTATAATGGTTATGATAAAAATCTGTCTCAAGAGGCGGATAGTCGAAACCCAAATATCTCTAGTATACTGTGTCTAGCACGTCAAATGATATAGCTCCCAGACAGTTGGCCTCTGCTTAAACACCAAGAGCACTGCTGAGATCTCAACAACACACTTTATTACGGTGAAATTCTGACTTTGTGACAAATAATTTATCCCTCGTTGATAAACAATTAATATATGTTAATATCATATCTGATCAGTATATGAACCAAAAGGGCTGCGATCGATTTTGAAAAGTGATATCTACCAGTTATTAGAACTGTGAGGGAAAAATATTGGATGCAATGAAAAAGTAGCGATTGTTGCCCTTGTTTAATTATTAAGAACGAATTTAATCTTTTACGTAAAAGAGCTATTTTGATTAACTTTTGGTTTTACTTTTTAAGTTTGTGTGAATCCACCCTTAGCTCATCTGCTTAGCACGTTACTAGTAAGATTTTAACGTTTAAATGTATGCCACGGACAAGTTATGCGCAAAATGTCAACTTGAAATAAATACACATTGTCCCTTGTTCTTTATTTGCCTTATTTATTGTCAAATCTGTTAAAGAAACATTGTGTTTTATTTCTAAGCGAATAACCTTTACAATGTCATCATTTTTGCAATGTGATATTTATATAATTACAAGTTACATGTACAATATCTAGGTACAATTCTGTGTTTCTACTGAAATAAAAAAAATAAACATTTTTGTCATACAACATAGATATTAGACAAATGATATCAATAAAAATAGTCTGTATACATTTGTATCACCAATTATGTTCATGTTTATCGACCAACAGCACATTGCATTCCAAACCTTATCTAGACCACTCGCTTAAACGAAACCAGTCTTTCGCAGCAATTTGATGTTCTATATAAAACCTTAATTCAATTTTAATACCATATCTTCAGATTCTCCCACTGGCATTTTACATGTATCTTTAAATAATGTTTTGTCAATTGTGAGTTATGTATGCGATAATGTCATTGTAGCTGGTGTTTACGATTGCTAGTGACTTGGGGATCAACTTAATGTTGCCTACGGGTTTCATTTCACTAAAACCGTCAGACATGACCATTTTGTTACCGTAAATTGGTTTGTCCGACCCGTTACTAAGTTATTACAGAAGAAGACAATCACCATAAAATACCTTAGTGTCTACTTAACATTATAATTGTTGTCCAGCAGAAACAACATTATCACCGTTGACCACTGCAGTGTATCAATCATCATCTCTTCAAGCTTACTTTTCCAATTTTCATTATGAGAAAAAACGAGTATTTATGAGTTCATAATGATCTCCCGTTGTCACTTACACAGTAAGTATGATTGCTTGTTTTTACTTTTATACCACATTGTGTTCTCTGTCGTGTTTCTCTTTCCTCAACACCTAAAGAAAATGCAAACATGAACAATAAGAAAGAAGGTTTGAATTAAAAAGGCTCTATTACAGGAAAGATGTATCGTCCAGTCTATGGAATATTCAATCGCAAATTCGATGAAATTAGGGCAAAATCTCAACAAAAGAAATATTCACATAGAGACGCACTATGAGAATACGACCAGGTGTTCAGGAAGGATAAGCGACTTTTACATTAATGATAGTGGTTTTTGAAATATAGATTAAAATGTAATGATTTATCAAAATGCGTAATATCATGATCTCGTTCGAAGCTTATAAAAAACATACAACTTGAGAATTTCTTCTCAAAGGCAAATTCAGTATTTGATAGTAAGTATTGAATTGAACCTTATCTTAAGCTGTTCTGGAACTCGTCAGTTACACTAGGGACGTAACAGTTGAACATCTCAATTGGCCTGACAGATGTTAAAATATAACTGAAGAGATAACTGACACATAAAACACAATGATTTGCATGAGACGTCAAGGGCATGAACCACGCTACTGATTAGTGTTGTGTTTGTAACTGCATTGTCGACGTTATCCTTGAAATCATTAACTTTAATGCTAACTAACAACGGAAAGAACTGCTTCCCTACCTTGAGTTGCCTTGTGCTAGGATGCACTACCTACATTCACATTTGTACAAGGGAAATATTCAATATAGACTATAACCTTTACGTGACTCCAAA